GTCTCTTATATATATAGTGCCCCTCATAAATTCAGATTGTGACATTTTACCCTTTCTTGCTCAGCGCGAAAAATACCCAAATCCACAAAGTATATTATCCTCGACTTTGAAAATTCAAAGAAGCTTCCAATCTCTGCGTGGTTGAATTGAGAAACAATGGAAGAAGAGGAAGGAGGGAAGGTTAGGGTTTTGATAGAGACGGCGACGATCTCGACCGAACCGGATGTCGACCCACGCCTCCTCAAGGCCATCAAGTCGGTTGTCCGATACTCCGATTCGGAGCTCCGACTCGCCGCTCGTATTCTCATGGATCTTATGAAGCGCGAACACTCTCAGGTCCTTTTGTGCATAGAAACTCTCTTTCTTCCGTAAAAATTCGAATCCTTATATTTAATTTCTCCGTTGCTGTTTGTAGTTTGTAGTGTATTTTTCTAGGGTTTATTTTCTAGCTTGTGTTTGGTTGCCGAGAAATTTTGAAAATTTGAAAGGGAAAATTCGATTTACCAATCAACATCTTGTTAAATTACGTATCCTTTTCATTTTTCTGAAATTATAGGAAATAATGGTAAAAAATTGGATAGTAAGCTGTTCAATTTGGTTAGAAATTGTTGTTTAATCTCTGTTTGTTTGGGTGGGTGTTAAAAGTTTAGGGATTCAGATTGGTACTATCAGTTGAATTAGGGGAGAGAGGTTTTTGATGAAATATATAAATTTTGCAGGTGCGCTACCTCACACTTCTTATCATTGATGAGCTTTTTATGAGATCAAAGCTATTTAGAACCCTTGTTGTGGAAAATTTGGATCAGTTATTGACTTTAAGTGTTGGATTTAGAATACATTTGTCACTCCCACCTCCGGCAAATGTTGCAACTGCTCTGCGTAAGAAGGCAATAGAGTTTTTGGAGAAGTGGAATTCTTCGTTTGGGGTTCACTATAAGCAGATTAGGTTAGGGTTTGATTACCTTAAGAACACCCTTAAGTATCAGTTCCCGAATCTACAAGAAACTGCGACTCGGCTTCAGCAGGAGAGAAGGGAAAGGGAGAGGAAGACAAGAAAGATCTTGTTGAAAAAGTTTGAGATTTTGGAAAAGAATTTTGTGTCAATTAAGGAAGAAATTCAATCTACCGTTGATGAGATTGGGGAGTGTTTAGAAATTGTACGCCCTAAAGAGGAAGGTGTGCCGTTTTGTCCATTAGATGAGGAAGATATCGAAGAGTTTCATTCTTATGAGTTCCGGCAGTTGCGCTTACAAGCATTGGAAGAAGGAGAAAAGCTTCATGAGAATAGTGAAAACAAAGTGGTTTTTGATGCCCTGCGGGAGCTTTACAAGATATTGGTAAAGCATTTGACTGCAGTGCAAGAATGGATCCTTGTTCTTGTAAAAGTTGAACTGACTGATAACAGATCCAGGGATTCATATTTGAAGGAGTTCATCGATATCCGGAATAATATTCAATCAGTGAAGAAGAAGTGTGAAGAATCGGGATGCAATCTTTCAAACATTGCAAAGCACGAGGAAGAAGATTTTTGGGAGGAAGGCAAGATCGAAACAACTGAGGGTGGGAATTTTAATCTTCCCAATAACAGAACTGGAGGTCTGGCTGTGGCATCAACATCCAAGGAGGTGCAAGGTAGCATTCCTAAACGCCATGATAAGGAGAGCGATGCCAATAAGAGGCTCAGTCATGAAGGTGGGGGAAGCAATTCAGACCCTCTGAGAAGTAAGCTTCTGGCTGAAGCTCCTGAGGTGAACTGGAGCAATCATTTGGCCAGTTGGGGTTCAAAGATGGATGTATTGGCTAACCATCGGGGGTTGGAGCTTGAAAGTCATTGGGGCAGGGTGGATCAGGATGCAGTTATTCCAGCAGAAAAGATTGCGGAATTAAATCTTCAGGCTACTGTGTACAAAGAAAAGCAGGTTGAAATTCAGCCATGCCGAGCACCATTAAGCAATGGAAAACTTTGTCCGAGAAGAGACTTGAGAATTTGCCCATTTCATGGACCTGTTATTCCCAGAGATGATGAGGGAAAGCCACTGAATCAGAACCCTCCAAAAGATGAGAAAGCTCCTGATTTAGGGACCAATTTAGTAGAGCAGTTAACGAAACAAGCCGTGCAGAATGTTCGTGAGAAAGATAAAGAGTTGGCAAGGAAGAGAGAAATAGATAAAAAGGCACTGAAGCGTGCCAAGCTTGCCAAAATAAGAGAACACAATGAAGCGGTTTTACGGGATTCTGCAATCGCTTCAACTTCTAAATCTGCATTTATTGGAGAAGATTGGGAGCCAAGTACTAGTAGGAACCCGTCATTCAGAAACAAAAAGAAAACCCTTGCCTCCATGCTGCAGAAGAAAGAGACACCAAAAGATAGATTAGCTCGGAGGATTTTGAATACACGAGCAAGTGCTGCAACTGTAAGACAACTTACATTGGGCGAGGATGCAAATTACCGAGAAGCCTTCCCGAATCAGTGGTAAATGGTCGCCCTATTTCTCTGCTTCTTGGCTAATTAAGAGGATTGTTACTGATTGATTTACATGCTTTTTGTAAATTGTTACACACATTTTCTTGACTTAAGCAATTAGGGACTTCCCCTAATTAGTGAATGATTAGGGAAGCTGTCTTTCGGCCGGTTTTGTAACATATGTTAATTTTCGGATTTGAATTCTTTCAAAATGTATGCATAAAAGGGAGGTTAATAAATAAGAAGTTTGATTTTATTTCATGTGTAATATCTGTTGTGGTTTGTTCTAAATGGACAGGATGACTTGTATAGCACGGCTGCACGGGCATACTGTCACGGTGACTGTCACATGCTAATAATACAAATATATATCGTAATTTCTCTTCATGTGTCCTTGTATTATTGGCACGTGAACGCCCATGCTATACAAGTTGCTCTCGATGAAAAGGTGTAGCAGCTTCCCGTGGCTGCTGCTGCATATCATAGACAATAACAGCTAATACAAGCATGTGTAAAGTGTGGCTTGTTCCAGTTTGGTTATGCTGTCTGCCGACAAGAATCAATGAATCATAACCAGACAGAAGGTACAGAATATTCGGCTTCACCTACTTTTTGGATAGTTACTTGTTATGGCGGCACAAAACAAAATGGTAGTAACGTTGAGGTCAAGTCATCCTTTTACGCCTTTGTTATTTATTTATTTATTTATTTTTTAATTTTGATCAACATTATGTATTTGTCTTCTCCCATGAAAATCATGTCTCGATTTTCGCTTGATCAAGTAATTTGAAATGTTATGTTGTCAGCCTATGTATTAACCGTTAATTAGGTAAATTGTGTATGATATTTAGTTAAGATTCCCTGTTTGACAACAAACATGTCAAACGGTACGGAAAGAGAAAATTCCTTTAGTTAAATAATTTCCAATTGATAAGTTTGATCTGATTACTTCATGAATGAGATAAAAATAAAAAGGCTTCCAAGCATGTGACCATGAATTTAGAAACGTTCAAGTCACCTTTGCAGCACTAACTCTTAATTTATGCGATAATATGAAGATATCATTGGCAAACAAAATTGTCACCAAGTTGTGTGTGTGTGTCACCGTGCAAGATACGTTGGATCTCTTAAAACTTAAACCCTAATTAAATTACATAATTGCTTCAATCAATTTTGAAACTAATGAGTATCCATGGTTTACAGTAGGATCCAATTCAACCTTGAATTGTTGGATATAAGTTTACAACATATTTGTGTTGTGAGCACCATTGGAGGAGTAATTCTTTTGTTCATGTTGGATATTTGAAAGTTTTTTTGTCGGAGATCACTGAAGTTGGTTGATAAGCCACATGGCGTTGCCCGTTGCTTTACTTTGTATGCTCTTCATGTTCGTCATTAAGCCAATGATGTTACTTATTGCTTTGCTCGTTATGCTTTTCACATTGACAATTCTTGCTTTTGGTTCGATGAACCTTTCGATTTTATTTTTCACTTGTTGTTTGAGGGTTGTAGTAGCTAATTGGCTGGCATGATTGGTTAGTATTTTGGCTGTTATTTTCACATTATTTGCTTGTATTTTCTATGGTCATAGTACACTTATATCTGTATTTATATATGACATGATAAATTCAATAGAGCTGCATTTCAACATCATTTCCAAGTCATTATAAAATTGTGAAAATGTCCACATTCCTTATTCAACAAGGTATCACTTTACAAACCATAATCAACTCATGCTTCAAAATTAATCACAAAACAATGTGTTACCAAATCTGCCATCATAACATCCATATGTAAAAAATTTTATATAAAAAATTATGCCTAATAACACAAACAAGTGTGCAACTTTTATAAGGATAAAATAGGACCCACAGTCGGCCAAAAAATTCAAAAAAAATGGAGCATTTTTGCTCACCACCATAAACTATAATGTATGCTCACCATACACCTAATCAATTAATACATGTTATTTCACTTAATCTTGATTAATTTCTTTTTCAAAATTGAAAAATTAACATTTAATGTGAAAGTTAATTAGAGTTAGTGAAATGACACCACATAAACCGGAGATTCATCCCCTTGTCTCCCTGCTCTTTTACTAAAAAGGCCGAACCTAATTAACAAGGCTTCTCATTTTATGATGATCGAGTTTTGACGTTACATAAAAGTTATTTTTTTGTGATTGAAAGATCACAAGTTCAATTCGAGTCATAAAAACAGCCCTTTTGCTAGTGATCTTTTACTACTCATCCAAAAAAAAAAAATCAGTTAAAACTTAAAACAAAACCCATAATTCCACATTAACAACAGCTAATTACCAAATCAGAAAAGTTAAAAATTAAGTTCCCTAAATTAACCTACCCTACTATTAAATCCCCTCGCTATTCTATTAACCTACCAATCATATCAAACCGCTACTCAAAAACCCTTAACTGAATATTAAACGGACACTTGATACCCGTCTGATCTTAATCAGACGGTTGATGTCATCTGGACGGTGACCCATCTCTTGTCTCTCTATCTGTAAAACCAACGAAGAAGAAGAAGCACACCTTTTTGTGGAAAAAGAATAAAAATTTTGGGTTTCTTATTACGCACATTGCAATCCAGGATTTTCCCTTTTTTTTTTACCCTTCCAATTTTTTATTCAATATTGTATAATTGTGTATTGGGGAATCATACCCATCAGTCAAAGAATCGAAAGATTTCATCTTTTTCCCAAATTTTGATTTTTTAAATTTTGGGTTTCCAAATTGTTGCTGTTTTTTTTTTGTCTCCATTGAAGAATGGAATCAGACATCATTGAAAGTTTTGCGTCTTTGGATTTGATTGACGATGACGAGATCCATAGCCGTCCGATTCACCAGTTTGTTTCAGTTCCGAAGGCGCACAGCAACACCGGCAGTAACATTCCCGGCACCACCAGCGTCCACGAGCTTCTTGAATGCCCTGTTTGTACCAATTCAATGTACCCTCCAATCCATCAGGTTCGCCCCTTCTTGCAATTTCCTCAATTGGTTTCCTTTTTTCTTTTGATCTTTGTTTTGCCTGTTTTGTTTTTTGAAGATTTTGAATTTTTGGGGTCAATGCTAGGGAATTATGATTTATTGAGTTTGATTAGTTTTTTTTTTTTTTTTTTTTTTTGTGGGATTTAATTTTAAGGGGTGATTGTGTTTCTGGGTTTTGGTTGGTAGGTTTATTGGATTCTATTATTTAGAAGGTTAAAGATAATATTCAGTTTCTGAATTTGGTTATAAAGAAAAGAAAAATGAATCCTTGTTAATTAGGATTCTATTATTTGTTTAGGCAAACAACAATCGAAAATAATTCTGGTTTGGCTAGTAAGATTTTGAAACTTGCTTCACTTATAAGTGCTTTTCCGGAGTTCCTAGTAACAGGGAATACCAAAGAACAGAATCAGATTTCGTTCAAAATATTTTGTCTACGTGATACTTCCTGGAGTTGGTGAATATGCTAGTTTGGACATATTTATCAGTTAGTTTGTCAAGTGAAGCAGGCTGACAGGTGGGGAGCGGTAACACTACCACCAATTGATAGAGATGCTTTGGGTGCTTTATCTGTGTAAAGCTATCGTGCTTGAAATTGGGTACACCAAGTTCATGCTATTTATTCATTAATAGGGTTTAGGACAGAAATTTTATCTGTGTAAAGCTATCATGCTTGAAATTGGGTGCACCGATCCGTGCTATATATTCATTAATAGGGTTTAGGTCAGAAGTTTATTAGTTGTTTTGTTAGAGCACTTTGCTCTGCCTCACACACATACTCTTACATCTCTCATGGCTGTAGAGGCTATAGAGTCACATAACTTTATGCTGGGGGTGTAATGCATCGCACGGGCTTCATTTTAAGTGTTGGGGGTGTTGACATGTTTTGATGTTTATGTGGCTTAGTTCGGATGAGTAGACCTACCCCACCTACTCTGGAGCTTATTGAAATCAAGGGATACTCACTGAATCGCTATCCTTAGATTTATTTGGGATGGCTAAGCATGGGGATTCTTTTAATAATATGTAGCTGCTTGTAAAATTCATCTAGGATTAGTTGACCTTTATGGCTTATAAATTAAACTATTTGTTTCTGCAGTGTCACAATGGGCATACCCTTTGTTCCACCTGTAAAGCAAGGGTGCATAACCGGTGCCCAACTTGTAGACAGGAGCTTGGTGACATAAGGTGTCTAGCACTGGAGAAGGTTGCTGAATCGCTTGAACTGCCCTGCAAGTATTGCTCTCTAGGGTGCCCAGAGATATTTCCCTATTATAGTAAACTCAAACACGAGGCTGTCTGTAACTTCAGACCATACAACTGTCCATATGCTGGATCAGACTGCTCCACTGTTGGGGATATTCCATTCCTTGTTTCTCACCTCCGGGATGATCACAAGGTGGACATGCATTCCGGATGCACTTTTAATCATCGTTATGTAAAGTCTAATCCTCGTGAAGTAGAAAATGCCACATGGATGTTAACTGTAAGTACATACGTGTTTCTCCCTCTTTGTATAAAACTCGTGGCTGAATGAAAATTGCTTGGTTTGCTCACCTCACGTTAGATATTAGTAGGCAGAGGTTGCATAAATCAAGAAACCATCACTTTCACTATGGGGGCAATAAGTGAAGTTAATACTGGAATTGCATCATTAGCCATTGAGAATAAGACTTTGTTTAGTTTAACTTTCCCAATTAGAATATAAATACTTAATTGATTAGTTTAACTATCCCAATTAAAAGTGCATGAATTAGTTGATTGGTTTAACTTTCCCAGTTAATATGGGACGATAGGAATCATGGGACCTTTGATAGCAATACTTGAGATGGATCAACTGTGACTATATTGCAGATTGAAGATGTAGGCTTTGGTTTTTGTTATGGTAGCAAACTAATTGTCTTATTTTTCATCCTTGATAGGTCTTCCACTGTTTTGGTCAGTATTTCTGTCTACATTTTGAAGCCTTCCAGCTTGGTATGGCTCCTGTTTACATGGCATTTCTCCGGTTCATGGGGGATGAAGCAGAAGCTCGGAACTACAGCTACAGCCTGGAGGTTGGAGGAAATGGCCGAAAGCTGATTTGGGAGGGCAACCCAAGAAGCATAAGGGATAGCCACAAGAAGGTTAGAGACAGCCATGATGGCCTCATAATACAGCGCAACATGGCGCTTTTCTTCTCTGGTGGGGATAGGAAAGCTGAAGCTGCGGGTCACAGGACGAATATTGAAGGAACAGCAGAACCCAGAAGGTGGGACCTGCATACCTCTCTGTAGCTAGCCTGGTTGGATATCTCTTTCCCTCATTTGTGTGCTAAATATTATCTTAATGTTATTAGTGAATTTAGATTTTAAGGATTCTTTTATTGGATTATAACGTTTCAATGCTGGAGGCTTTGTACTTAGTCTGTTAAGCTTCCAGTTATCCTCTTAAAGCTGAAACACGAAACTGTTGTCTTGATGGAGTCTTGGTTAGAGTTTGATATTAGTATTAGATTAACAATCATGACAGCTGTCCATAATTTCTCAAAAACCAATTGAACTTTGCTCAATGGCATTATAGTCAAAGCACGGCTCATGCCGCCGTTGTTTAACTGGAGAGATAAGGAAGGGGGTGAGACAGACAGGTGTATCCTAGGGTAAAGCTTGTTAAGGTAAAACGAAGGGAAAATTATGATGATTAGAACCTTGACAGCTTTCACTTTAGTTCCTAAGTTATGAAACAATCCATTATGTCCCCTAGGCTTATAATTTTTTCTACGTTTCAGGGGCGAAAGTTTGTGAAGTACCGTGTACGATTGCAGTTCAAACTGACTGATAAGCAGTTGGTGAGACAGCTAGAGCTTGGGGTATCAGTTTATATACTTGGTAGGTATGTATCAATGCCTAAGATAGAAAAACCATAAGCTTTTATCCTATGATCTGCAAATACTCAACAGGGAAATTACTCCTTTGCTTGTCTTGGAATTACTTGACTTTATTTGATACACAAAGCTCAACGTTGAGTCAGATGAAACCTAAACAAAGTAGATCAGTGAGGAGTCATCGTTTCACTTTCAACCATCATGTTTGCTATGAGTTGGGGGCAAAAGCGGAGATAAGATACGTAATCTTTAAGTCTCTCCAGCACTCAATGTTGCATCCTTTGGGGTTGCCATTGCAGTCTTTGATGGCAAACGATCTCGAAGCTCAAATACCGTATGTTTCATCAGCAGCAGCGTTTGTTTAGTGCAGTTGATATAGGTCGATCGTCTCATGATCATCAGATGGTGTTGCTGTACAGTAGTGGATCGGACTGGGTTGGCCGGGGACTCCCTCTATTCCGAGATTGTTTTCCTTGCCATTTTGATGACTCTACGTGCTTCTTTTTCCGTGAGAGGTTGAGGGAAACAAGAAAAAGGAACTTGAAAATATATGTACGTCTGTGTGAGGTTGGAATTTGTTTCTTTTTGCTGGAAAACACTAGGCCTGAAATATAGATAGATCATAAACAATTCAGATTAGGTCACAGCTTTAACGATATTCGAACTTAATGTGTTTCCAAATTTCGATTTGTAGATACAAAAGGCTCACATTTCTCTTTACTTGTAAGGGAGAGATTTCAGATTCCGTTTTCCTGAATAGCGAGTGCGACACCAAATTATGACCTCCAATTGGATGTCATAGCCCAATTCCCACCCCCAATATAATGTGTTGGAGAGAAGAGCCAACACATGATACAAAAGTCTTCAAATCTCCATCCTTGAATTGGATCACAAACAAAACGACCACTCGATCTTGCAGCCACGGTTGTTGGCATCATCGTGGTCGTTGATGGGCAGTATTGCATGGTTGCAACGAAGGATCTAATCCCCATGTTATTATCCATGATCTCATGACTCATACATCGTTCGATTGGATCAAACGTCAGTAGCTTCTCTTTCCCCCACTAGATCAATCTGTGATCGTCACCTGATCGGCAGATGATGATGTTGATGCGAAGGCATTGGAGTAGATTGCGCTGTACCGTATCAGGCCATGTTTGCTGAGTACAGGCAAGATTTGGGAACCATTTGTGGAAGTAGCAAAGATCTGCCACGAAAGGCCAAACTTCATCTGCCGTTGGAACCAGGCAGTATTGTCCTTGAGAATTCATAGCCCAAGCGTTATCCGCACTCACCGGAAACTCCGGTCCCGTGAAATGAAACACAATATCCGGCGTTTTATCCACTTGAAACCGGCTATCATCGTAACAAACTATGGAAATCGGATAAGGCATTCACGATTACCTTCTCCAGCTCACAAAAAGCTTCAAATGCAAGCATATGGTATAAGTCCACGAAAACACCTCCATCTCCACCTGCGGTCATATTAAAAACTGAACTCGAAACATTTAGCATTGGGCCATCGACGCTAATGCCCTCTAAGCTTAAGATAGTACAGACCAAATTTCACGTTGCTGTTGTTGTAGGTGCCATTATTTTCGGATGAAATGCTATACGAGAGGTGGGGGTACGAAATCTGACAGACAAGTGAAGAAGGCTCTCTGCTAAGTCCCACAACTCCTGGTGGATGGTGGTATGGTTTCGACATTAGTTAATGTTACCACCTAATCCATCATGTTCAAGCATCATGGTCTCCCTGGCAATGTCTGTGTTTGCAGGATCAACTTTGTACCTCATGATGTAGCCTCCATAGTCTCTATCAATCAGTTCTCCATGCTCTCTATCGATCGGTGCGCTGATGCCTCGAAACCTTGGACTGGTGTCTCAGGAGAAGACTTGGACGACGGAGGTATGGTGATCAAATGAGGAGGGAGAATATCAGAGTTGAGGCCATGGTTGCTAGCCCTAGGGAGAATATCACAAAATTTACACCTGTAACCAGGGAGAATGTTTTTACGTAATTGGCAATCCTTTACATGTATTTCATCATCGTTAGTTGTCCATGTGGGCAGGAAAATTTGACGTTTTTGCATTGTGAGCGCTATATGCATAAATTTTACGAAAGAAACTTACATGCAACAAGATGTCATTGTGACGGTATTTCAAACTAATCATGTAAACACATAATAGTAAATGATAAACTTAAAATACTGATACAATATTATTCCCGGTATATTATATGTAGGTACTTAACTGCAACAACTTCTCCACATATGGCATAGTAATGTGTAGGGTGTATAAAAGGTAAAGTAAACATCATATTTGTTCACCAAAAACTTGCTATAAAGCTTTTGAAATCTCTAATTAAACGACATATGTTACATGTCGTTCTCCTTCCTGAACGACGTGTGACGATATGCTGAAAAACCTCTCCAAATTCTCCGCCAAAGCTCTGAATCCCTTCACTTTATGTAACCTCTCAATCTTCATCCATGGAGTTTCCCTCTCTTTCTTCACCTTTCCCATCCAAATTTCCCGCCAATTCTCCGAACAAGAAGACCCAATTTCGATACAACATTCCCACCTTCGATGTCTACAGAACCCCATCATTTTCCATCTATTTACTCTTCTGTAACAGCAGAAAAGTTTCGAGCTTTCGCGCAGTTCGGTGGGCTTACCAGCCGCAGAAACTCGCTGAGGAAGAAGATCACTGACGGCCCAAGGGTGAACCAGAATTCCATTCCTTTAACCCCAAGTTCTGAATTTCAGTTTTTGAATAGTAATGTTGTTGATTCTGAGAGTCAGTGTAGTAATTTGATTTCTGATGATAGTGTGAAAGAGAGTAAATTTGGTAATGGGGTTGTTGATGATAGTGTTGCTGAAACGGGTAATGCAGAAGAATCGAATTCGAAGCGTCTTGGTGATTCGGTTTTGTTGAGTAAATTGGAGGGTTGGATGGACAAGTATAGGAGGGATACTGAGTACTGGGGCATTGGTTCGGGTCATATTTTCACTGTTGTGCAAGATTCTGATGGTAGTGTGAAGGCGGTTTCGGTTAATGAGGATGAAATCTTGAGGAGAAGCCGAGTTGAGTGAGGGGAACTGGAGGGCTCGGTGGAGATGAACTTGAAATTTTTGCAGGCGGAGAGTTTAGCTAGAGAGATGGAAAGAGGGAACAATGGGATTCCGAGGAATAGTTCCATAGCCAAGTTCGTTAATGAGGGTGAGGGTCTTGTGAAGGCGATTCAGGGTTTTACTCTTGGATCGGAGTTGATACCAAAGCTATCTCGAGTTGGGAGATTGGTGTTGTATGGTTTCATTGCGTTGTGGGCATTGAAGAAGTTATTCACTTTTGGAAATAAAGAAGAGCGATACTCGGAATTGGAGAAGGAAATGATGAGGAGAAAGATCAAAGCAAGAAAGGAGAAAGAGATGTTAGAACCGAGCAGTGTGGAAGTTGTTCAAGCAGCTCCGGAACTGCCACTGGGTTCCTTTAAAAAGCCTAGCCTTGAGAAGCAACAACTTATGAAAGTTATTGGGAGAGGAAAATCTTCAAATGGTAACCTGGCTCTACAAGTTTCTCCAAGTTCCATGATCACTGCTGAGTATACAGATTTTGATGATAAAGTTCAGGAATCAGAAATATGGCCAGGCAAGCACGAGAAATTGAGAGCAGGGATAGGGACAGAAACAATATTCAGACTCTGAATGATGAAATTTCAGATGAAACTGTAAATGAAATTTCGGATGAAACAGAAGCTGTCAAACGGCATGGAGACGAGCAAGAAAATATTCTACCCAACCTTGTAAATGGAGATTTCAGGCAAAGTGAGGGTAGTGATGATACTTCTTCTAGTAAAAAGTTAGACTTTGTTGAGGATGGGAATAATCAAACTTCTAGTATTTCAAATATAGAGGTTTCAGATGATCGGGAAAGCACTAACCAGGATGTAACAAAGTCTGAACAGAATTTACACTTACCAGACAATGCTCCTTTTAGGGAGTCCAGAAAGTCCAGCAATGGTTCCCTGCAAGTAAAACCAAGGTCAGTGAAAGAAGCTAGGGAGTATCTTTCTACAAAAGATGACAAAACAAAGCTAAATGAAGAGCTCCGGTTTGAACCTGTCCCTAGAAGTGATGTTCTTGGAAGGCTACAAAGTGCTAAAGACTTTGGTAACAATGGAAGCCAGGGAGAGTTCGTGGTCAGCAATGTTTTAGCTTCTGTGGTTCCAGATGAAACATCAGATCCTCCATCTACTGAAAATAGTAACAGTGATTCAATGATAGAATCATCTGTTAAATATGAGAAGTGGATGGAGGAAAACTTTAATGAATTTGAACCTATAGCTAAGAAGATTGGAGTTGGTTTTAGAGATAATTACATGGTTTCAAGAGGAAAAGCAGATGAAGAATCAATTATGAGTTCGGACATGACACAGCTTGGATCTAACGAAGAAGATGACAGTGAACTTGAATGGATGAAAGATGATAGTCTAAGGGAAATTGTCCTTCAAGTCCGAGACAATGAGTTGGCAGGAAGGGATCCGTTTCATATGATGGATGCTGAAGATAAGGATGCATTTTTTAAGGGTCTTGAGAAGAAAGTTGAGAAAGAGAGTACAAACCTGACGAAACTGCATGAGTTACTCCATTCGAACATTGAAAACCTCACTTATGGTGCAGGTAATTTTTCGACTCATACCTATTGCTCTAGTTTTCAGCATTGAGGAAGATATAGATGCTTTTGTTTTGATTTTGAAATTTTATGAATTCAGAAAGGGGTCATTTAATTGTATAGCATTCTAACCATGGTGAGATGTTTCAAGTTTTTACTGCAACCAGTTTGATCGGCCTCATAGGTTTTCTGATTGTAATTTACTTTTCTCTCTGTATTTGTTAGCTAAACCGGTTCCTTACATAACTAGATTCATTGACCGCTTGTCAGGCCAATTGTTTGTTAATATAATCTTTCTCTTGGACATGAAAATGGAGGGCTGTAGTCATTGTAGCTTTTAGGTTTAAATCCTGCCAACTAAATAGAAGATTAAATATGTGATTTTTTCTTGAATACACATATTTTGCTTGGACTAATATTTTGCTTTCCTAGTAGACGGTATCAGCATCTATGATCCACTAGAGAAAATTATACCCCGCTGGAAAGGTCCCCCATTAGAAAAGAGTCCTGAATTCTTGAATTATTTCCAAGAGCAGCGGAAGTCAATTTTTGCTGAGAATGATGGGACTTCGGTGAATAAAGACGAGCAGAACTTTCTTCAAAACTCAACAGGATCCCAATCCCATGAGAATATTGCTGCCACTCCCATAACCAATGACCCAAATAAGAAGGATATTAGAAGTTCAAAGACAATTATAGAAGGGAGCGATGGTTCTGTTAGGGCTGGAAAAAAATCAGGAAAGTAGTTTTGACAACACACAGAAAAATGGTCTCAGGGGTTTTTGGAATCCTACAACACGGAGACAGACCCAGAAATTAAATCCACTATGAGAGACATGGGGAAGGGTTTAGATCGATGGATCACTGAAAAAGAAATACAGGAAGCTGCTGATCTGATAGACAGAATGCCTGAAAAAAGTAAGGAATTCATGGAAAAGAAACTCAGCAAGCTTAAGAGAGATGGAATTGTTTGGGCCACAAGCTTTTGTGAGCAAATACCATGAATATGCAGAAGATAAGAAAGAAGATTACTTGTGGTGGTTCGATCTTCCTTATGTGCTGGTAAGCTAGATATGCACTTCGAGTTTTCTGCAATTTTTTTAAGCTTGATTTATGCTGTTAGTTCATTCCCTGATAGTTTCATCTTCTGAAAGTTGTTGTCTAACACACTATATTAAAGTTCCAGGAGGTCCTGAGTTTCAAACCTCTAATCCTTATTCCCAATATATTTGTCCACCTTGATTCTAAGCTTTATATAGATATTTTTACCGATACTCAACCAGTCGTTAATTCTCTTGTATTTTCCAGTGCATTGAGCTGTACACAGTTGATAATGAAGAACAAAGGATTGGATTTTATTCAGTGGAGATGGCTGCGGATCTTGAATTGGAACCAAAGCCATACCATGTGATTGCTTTCGAGGACAGTAATGATTGCAAAAATCTTGGTTATGTCATACAGGCTCAAATGGAAACACTTGGGAATGGCCATGCCTTTGTTGTTGCCCAGCAACTAAGGTAAAGAATTAATTTGTTTTCAGTTCTGAATGTAATGTTTCTGGTAGATCATCATTCTTCAGTTGCAGCTATTGGAAATTTCCGTGCAATTCATACTTCATAGTCTTAGCAAATTATCTTCTCTCAAGAGAGGCCAACTTAGGTGGAACTGCGATTTGTGTTTTCAATATCACTCGGTTAACAGTACTTGTAATGTTTTTTCATTTTAAGTCGAGACTTGAGATCTAATGCTCTATAGTTTTCATATGTTCAATTGTACCCTTGCAATTGTTCAGTCTAATTTTTATTGATCTGTTGAGGTGGGTGACCGATTTATCTGAAGGTCCACTTATCTTCTCTCCAGGATGTTTTTCGAGAAGCCAAAACAAATGGCTTCAGTGTAACTGTCATTAGGAAAGGAGAGCTTCCGCTCAATGTGGACCAAACTTTGGAAGAAGTAGAGGAACAGATCAGTGAGATTGGGAGCAAAATCTACCATGATAGGATCATGCGGGAGCGCTCTATGGATATAAGCTCGTTGATGAAGGGTGTATTTGGGTTCAGCGGCAGACCTATTATGAAGTAATTTCTTAACTCTAATAAAGTTGTTTCCATACAATACTTACCGGGTCCATGGGACACGATTTCATTGTATTCTGTTTTGAAGTGGTCACATTTTTGTATCCTGGCTGTCTTGATGGCAGAAAAAGACCAACACAAACAATGAAGAGTGCAATTGGTTTCAGTGGCAAGCCCGCTAAGAAGTCCTTCATTCTGATGGGGTTGTTTCCATGCAATACTGAACAAGCAGAGAACACCAAAGCATTGATTCGTGCTATTTTATATCATTGCATTTTATTTTGCGAGTATGAACATTTTCTTACATCTCTATCTTTGATTGCAGAAAAAGATCAAAGAAAATGCTGAAGAAGCCCAGCAAGAAAGAAAGGTGATGCTTCATCATTTACATATTCCGAGAGACAACAGTACTCAACCATGAAAGAAGTTCATGGTAATGTCAAACTCCACATTCTTACTCTGGATGCACGCACAAACGCCTGACAAACTCTGTACAAGTAGCCGGAGCTCCATGACTTGGTGCCAAGCAATTACCTTTCAGGTTACCTTTTACCCAATTCACCGTTTCGCCCATTCTTATACCGGAGCAGAAGTTGCACTAGTAAAATGTACATGTTGCCCCTTCTTCTCACCCAAAGACTGGACATTTTAGTTCAGCTAGCTCTCAATCCCGACTCGGAGTGTCTCTATTGCAGAGGTGCAAAAGCTCTTATCTTTGACTCAGGAGGGCTTTCCACAGCATCGACTGATGCGGGCTCGGATCTGGTCACTTGCAGCAACACATCTTCGGAGCTGGTTCCTTAAAACATTAATTCCTATATTCCGTGTTAATTTGTGAATAAATATCCAACCTCATTGTATTTGGCCCTTTTATCTTACTGTAATTCCAGCTTAATTTATTTAACAAGCCGGAAAAAAGCATCGGCTTATTTTCGGGTTTCTCAAGGCTAGTTTGATATTGCTGTGCTTTTAAAAAAAAACTGTTTCTGCTGTGCTGTGAGAATAAACAGCTGTAAAATAAAGTAGTTGAGTGTTTGATAATTTTTATTTTATAAAAGTGCTTTTAAGTGTAAGAGTATTTGGTAAACTTTTATATAAAGATGATATGACTATGTCAAATGACAAAAATGAGTATGATATTAAATGTAAAATAAGAATAATTTTATTTATATTTGACAAAAAAATAAAGAATAATGATTTTATTTATTAATACTCTCTCTAGAGTCTTCCCCCTTTATTTTCTCCATCAACTAGACCTTTCCAAAAACCAAAAAAATCTCTCTAGAAGTCTCCTCCACTACCCCAATTTTCTCAGTTTTTATTTTTTTTGCTCCGGCTTCTTTTTTATTTTCATCTTCATGGATTCCGAAGGCACCAACGCCGAGACTATGTTGTCTTTGATGGGTTGTTCCTCAATCTGTCTCACTTGTCTCACTGCATTTTTCTTCCTCATTTTCTCTGTCTGGGCAATCTGGGCTCTCTCCTGTAAGCGGTGCAATCTGGGCAAGTCCGTGATGCCAAAATTGAATATGAATCCGAGTCTGGTTATTGTCGGAAAAGATGGTGCTGTTTCTCGGCGCGATTTTGTGACGTGGGAGTGAGAGAGGATGAATGAGAGATGGGTGAAAGGACAGAGACAGAAACGATGTCGTAGGGTATGGAATCCAAGGTCAATAACGATGATTGTTGAATCTAGGAGTGAACGGCGTTGTGGTGGAGTTGACGAGGACGATCTCCCAATTGAAGTCGGCGACATCTTCGAGTTGGTATTATGTGTACTTTATTTAATTGTTTAAGGCCATTTTGGGTATTTGAAAGTTTCATTAAAGGACTCAGCACCTCTTGCAAATTAGGTTTGCGCAGAAGCTATGAAGCAAAAAAAGCCGGTTTTTCAAAGCTAGCTTTTGCTGCTTCTGTTTTTTGGCTTTTTTTTTTCACCCAAAACTGTGAAAAAAAACTGAAATTGAAAGATTACCAAAACACAAAAAAGCTCCTAGCTTCTAGCTTTTTTGACACTCGCTTTTTTAAAAGCACCTAAGTACCAAACCAATACTCAGAATTCAACTTACAGGCTTATTTTCAAGTTTCTCAGAATTCAACTTACAGTGTTTACCGGAGTTTTAACGGAGTAGATAAAAGTGATGAGCGTATATGATACGTTTCACTATAGCATTGGATTGTAGATTTTCCGCATCAACATGCAGATTTCCAACAAAATCAGAAAGCTCATTTAACTCATTAAAACCGAAATAGTTCTAATTGTATCATCCACCACCTGGCACGCAACTGTTAATGAAGCGCTAATCTCGTTTTATCCTTTTTTACAAAATTTATTTATTAAAAAAAAAAAAACCCAATGCCAACACGTTGCCATTTTCCTATTTTATTCTTAAACATTTATCAAAATATAAAATACTTGTCTCATCTCATATGAAACAAAAAAACATCCCAAACCTAACGAATGAAATTTCTGTCTTCAACACAAACGGATTAGAGATTGTCACGAAACGAACCACAAACTTGAGTACAAGTCAAACGAAACTGGATTTTGGTCTGCAATGAAAAGCACGAATACGAAAGGAACTGTGGTCTATAATGAGAAAACGGATGCGAAATTGAAGGTGTATGGGCAAACATATGTACGCTAATCACATGGTCATATACACGCTTTATATACCTATGTTCTCCACATGATTCAGCATCCCATTACGAAAGTGATCTTGCAATCTCTTCAAGGCGACGGTCCATAATTTGGGACACGGTCTCAAGAAAAGAATCTTCACTTGAATCCGGGAGCACAGAATCCTCTGCTTCTTGCACCATCTCCTCAATGATGGATTCCTTGTTCAGGGTTTTTCTGCACATTATGTTTCCTATAGCAAAGGGAGTGAACTGTCTCTCTGCCCCTTTCTTCAACAGCATGGTTGAATGCGAAGTGTGCGGGCACATTTTCGGGGCATGTCCCATCCATGGAACTTCAAAATGGCAATATCTTCTTCTGCATCCAGTGATTTGATGTAATCGATGACCTCGTCAGCATAAGGCTTGCGTGCTTGTGGCCAATACAACCAGTCAAATGTAATGTCTTCAAACTGCGGGAACAAGATAATACACAAGAAATTAGTATTACAATATCAGAAAACAAAATGAAAATAAATCGCCTAGAGAATATCATGGCAATGAGCTGATGAATATAAGATGCGACAAACTTCATGAAAACGAGAAAAGAAACTCCAAACACAATAAAAAACAATGACAACAAAGACAAATCACCGCCAGTTAATAAAAGTTGCAGCGAATGTACTTACTGTTTCAGGTAAGCAGTAGCCATGATCAATTGGAATCAGCACAGTCTGGCCATCTTCACCCTCTTTGCCCAGCAAAATGTTTCCAGCATGCCTGTCCGCATTTGCCAATCTGATATCTAAAACAGAAATCTTATGCACTTCCTCAGTTGGGAAAGCAGCAGGGCCCATGTCTTCGCAACTTCCACTATTCTCCATGAACTTCTGCAAGGACCCGATCTTAACAGTGGCATCCCCAGGATGGTTGAACACTTTATGGAAGCACTTGACAATAAATGTAGGGGGGACCCCAGCAAAGCCCTTTGCATTGCCAAAGGGCATGCGATATCCACCCATTGGATGATCCAAGAGGTAAGCTGCCACTTCCCTAAATGCTCCTTCTCCAACTCTTGTTCCCTTTTTCAATCCTTCACCATCCAATGACAATGGCAGCCCCCTCGGATTGTTTTGAGCCATAGGCTCCTCATCAATCGGCTTAAAAACAGATACATACTTTTGACCTGACGAGTCTAGCATAAAGTACGCTCCTCCTGTACCCTCCATGGACCTGATTGGATAACTCCCACTATCTAGTCCGACAGACGTGTCATGAACCATATCCCGAATCTGGGAAGGTAATTCAATCTTGCGGTTAACAATGACAGGCTCCAACAAAAATCCCCTGTCAGGAGGTTTTCTCAGCACAACTTCATAATCTCTCTTAAAGTCATGCTCATCATATTGTCGCGTCACATTATCTCCACCAACTTCATAATTTTTCCCATCATCCAACTGTGACGCCACAACTGACAATTCAAAGTTCTTCACAACTGGCCTGGCCCTAACTTTTGCAGACTTCCGGACCAACAGATGTAAGACAGCATCATTATGTTTACATATGTCATCAATAAGTCTCTGATCTTCAAGTAGTTTTCCATCATACACAACTTCTTGTCTTCTAGATCAACAAACTCTTTACTCTTCTTTGCAATCTTTTGCTTCACATATCCAACATCTTGACCACGTTCCACGTGGAAGGTAAACTCTTTACCGCAAGTCGTTCGGACATTGATCTCTTGAAGGTCAGAAAGCCTAAGGACCAAATGTAGAATATTCCCATCAGTGACCCCGTATTCCCGGAGTATGGAATTGCTCCTAGCCAGCTCTCTACCTCCACAAACTAACTTTTGCTTCTTAGCAACAAACCCTTTATAGGTTTGTATCCTAAGCTTCACTGATTCAATAGAGTCCGATCCCAAAACACTCAGAGGAGTAGTTGACCCAGACACAGAGAGATATATCAATATCGATTCATCCGAAGACATACACGATTGGGGAAACGCGGGCTCACTGTGAACCGGAGTAAGAGCAGCAATAACGGCCGACGACATTATGCTCTTAATTCTAAATTTTCCAAGAAAGTCAAAGAGCTCTTCAAATCAATGCAGAACTTTCAAACCCTACAAAAACTATACACATATTTACAAGAATGCAGCCACATCTAACCCTAAATTGACCACCCGATCGATACCCAGATGATCAAACAAACCCTAGATTCAATTTTCTCAAACCATACAGCAAAAGGAACAAACTTGAATACCCTCCTCCCCTCCAAACGGGAAGGGAAAAAGTACCCACGGATCCAACCCCTATAAATCCATCACCTGCAAACCAAAATTACAAATCCCAAGTAAAAATCCAAGAACCCACAAACCAATCGGCAAAACAAAAACCCTAGAAATCGGACCCAACAAAATACCAAAAAAAAAGGGGTAAATGAACAACAAAGATGGATCACGATTCTTAGCAAGAAGGAAGAACCGGAAAGCAGGGAGTGACCGAGAAGAATTCAGCTCGATTGGCGATTTGTCGTGTAGCAGCTAGGGTCTGTAAAACCGAGGGAAAATGGGAGAGAGGAA